TTTAGACTTCAATCTCTTTCCCAGTGAAAATGCAGTTATTGTAGCTGGACGTTAAAGGCTTAGAGACTTTGCTGTATCTAGGCCTTGGGAGAGAGAGCTCCTGCCCCTAAACGGGGGTTATATTATGGCTCCTCTACAAAGTGACTTTCTGGTCATTACCACCATTACAACTTGCATTTCACGGGAATTTGAGACTCCCCCAAGGCTCCTGTACGCCAGCACTCCACAAACTGGGTTTGATGGTTGCAAATTGCCCCGCGAGAGCAGGATTTGCCTTGCAGATCTGGAGGTGGGGTAATCTCCCCGCTCCCCACGCTGGGGGGTGAAGTCAATGCTCTCCTCATTTGGGCAACAAAAAGCTCACCCACGTCTCCCAGCCTGGAACAGGGGATTAAGCTGCTGCTTTTGGTCTTTTATGGCCATGCCACTTCCCGCACACCTCCTGACATGGTCCCCTTTCCCTCCCCACTCACAGTGCCACCTTTCTAAACCTTGTATGCTGGTGGCCCAACCTGCCACACCAAGAGCCAAGTCCTCAGCATTCTGGTATCCTTCATGTACGTTGCTAAGTCTTCAGAGTGCCCAAATATACAGCATTTCTTTTTAAATCACAGCTTCCTCAGGCCTGCTCCAGGTCCAGTACTTATCAAGATTCAGAGATTAGCAAGGGATAGGGTTGCTTTCCTTGAGTTTCTTGGTAGAACATGAGCCAACGTGCTGTTTTACGAAGAATTTCTAAGGTTACTCTTGGCACAGTGTCAGTTGCTGCTGGCAGGGGGTCACGTTTAACAGATTTCTTTCTCCAGTTACATTATACACGTCAGCTGTGCAATTTCTTGTTCAGAAGCTAGTAGAGCCCACGAATCACAAAAGACCATTTTTTACACTTTTATAATTGATTCATTTCTCTCCCCTGGGGTGTTGTACACAAATCGTCAGCTTTGGTTACGCAGAAAAATACAGTGCCATGCAGAAATACTTGGCTTCATGTGGGGTGGGCTGCTCTGAGAGTGGAAGCAGTGAAGGTCAGCCAGCTGATGCAGAATTAGTTAGCTGGGCAGGATGCTGAATTAATAGTTCCATACTGCCTCCACTTCATGTGCCTGCTTGCTTAGGGGAGAGTGTTGTGGGTCAGCCTCCGTGGGTAGCTCAGCCCCACGGAGCCACTCGCTCATGCCCCCCGCAGCAGGATGGGGAGAAGAATCAGAAGGGTAAAAGTGCAAAAACTTGCAGGTTGAGATAAAGGCAGTTTAACAGGTAAAGCAAAAGTTGCATGCGCAAGCAAAGAAAAAGCAATTCATTCACTGCTTCCCACTGCAGGCAGGCATTCAGCCATCCCCAGGAAAGCAGGGCTTCATCACACTGTGCTGGTTTTGGCTGTGGTAGAGTTAACATAACATAGAGTTAGCATAACAGTGACTTGGGAAGACAGACACCGTAACGCTGAGTGCCCCCCCTCCTCCTTCTTCCCCCCAGCTTTTATTGCTGAGCACAGCATCGTATGGTGTGGGATATGCCTTCGGTCAGCTGGGGTCAATTGTCCCAGCTGCGTCCCCTCCCAGCTTCTTGCACAACCCCAGCCTACTCACTGGTGGGGCAGGGTGAGAAGCAGAAAAGACCTTGATGCTGTGCAAGCACTGCTTAGCAACAGCTACAACATCCCTGTGTTATCAACACTGGTCTCAGATCCAAAACACAGTGCCATACCAGCTAGTATGAAGAAAATTAACTCTATCCCAGCCAAAACCAGTACAGAGAGTCAAGTGCTTCCTCATTGTGCCAGAAGACCACTGCTTCAAAGTGCTGAGCATCCACATCGTTCTAGTATTTAAGTCTGTCCCAGAAAAAATAGAATTTTGGACAAGAAATTCCTACCACAATGATTCTTTATAAAAA